CGGCGGACGGACCCACTGGCTTCAGAAACAAGCAGCTCGGGCTCTTGTTTTGCCCACCCAGCCCCACCCCACCCCACCCCTAGCCCCCAGAAGCTTCTGCCTAGCAGAGGTTTCTGCCCTGGCAACCCTGTGGCTGTTCCCCAGCCCTCCCTCTGTCAGAGAGTGGAAATTCAGAACTCGGGCTCTGTGCCTCCACGTGCCACTCTCAGCTAGAGTGCCAGGAGCACCATGTGGAAGCATGGAGCCGGCTCAGCCTGATGGTGAGGGACTTCCCATGGCTTCTGCCACTCTAGCCTGCAGGCTGGCTCCATGCTGCACCCTGTGGTCCCAGCCTTACAGCTAGGAACCGGATGCTGCCAGAGCTGTCCTGGCCTGGCAGCACACATTTCCCAGCTGCATGGCCAAGACCTGCAGGATGAAGCAGGAGCCAGTCGGGAACTGTGTGCTGCCAGGCCGAGCTGGCTCCATCCTCTGTCCTGCAGTCCCAGACCTGCAGCCAGGAAGTGCATGCTGCTGGAGCTGGCCCAGCCCAGTAACACACAATTCTCAGCTGCATGGTCAGGACCTGCACAGTGTAGCGGAAGCCAGCTGGGAACTGTGTGCTGCTGGGCTTGTCTGGGCTGGCTTCGTGCCGTGCGCTGCAGGTTCTGGCCATGCAGTTGGGAACTGTGCAGCACAGCATAGAGCTGGCCCCAGCCTGGCCCAGCCCCTCCTGGCAGCACACAGTTCCCAGCTTCAAGGCCAGGACTCGCATGGCACAGCACAGAGCCAGCCTGGCCCTGGCAGCACGTGGTTCCTGACTGCATGGCCAGGACCCACACGGTGTGGCACAAAGCCAGCCCATCCCCTCCTGGTAGCACATGGTTCTCAGCTGCAAGGCTGGGACCTGTGCGGCGTGGCACAGAGCCAGCACGGCCTGGCCCCTCCATGCTGTGTTGCATGGGTATTGGCCATGCAGCGGGTAACTTCATGATGCTGGGAGGGGACAGGACAGGACTCATTCTCTTTCAGAAGTGCCCATGTAGGCAAAATTTAAGTATAACCATTGGCCTGTATTCATTAACCTTTTACAAAGGGTAAAAGGTTCTCACCTAGGGAGGAGCATGGTCTGGCTGTGAGGCTAAGAACTTCTGGATTCTATTTCTGGCTTTGCCACCAATTCCATCTGTGAACCTGAGTAGATCATTTTCAAATGTGCCCATTTTTTCTGTTTGATAAGTGAGCTGTCTCTCCCTCAAACCCTGGGAAGTTGCCCGTCTCTTCTTGTTTTGTTTTTTGTTTTTGTGTCATTGGTGATGATGGTTAAGAGGGCTTAATTACTTTGCATAGAAGCTGAAATCCATCTCTGTTTTTGCAGTTGTTGCCATTTGATCTGCAAACCTTCAGGTTTTTGCTTGAAATCCAGACTGCTCTCCTTGATGCACAGCTATAGAATCTTACTGCGGCCTGCTGCTGTTTCCTCATAGAAGTGAACACAGAGGCCTACCTTATGCAGAAAAAGCACTAAAGGTTTGCAGCAGTGACCTGTTTGGGACAAGAAGGTAAAGCTAGGGCCTTTCTATTTCAGAAAATCATATTAGACCACATATGTGTATCAGGGTCTCAGCAAGATTGAGGCTGCTGCACAGAAAAAGTTGTGGCAGGGATATTACCAGCTGCCTGTTAGTGTGAATAAACCTGTAGGTAGAGTATGAATCTGAGCTCCCACAGAGACTGAACTTACTGCTTTCTTCACCATTTCCACCTCTGTCTGGTTCAGTAGCATGTATGGCCTCATGAATTGTACATTAGGAGTCAGAAACGCCTGGAATCTAGTCCTGAATGTGCCACAGACCTTCTGTATAACCTGGGCAAGTCATAGGCTTTTTTTGCTTCCATGCTTTTTCTTCCTCCTTGCAGCACTGCTGCAAACCAGCAGTGTTTCTCCTGCATAAGGTGGGCCTGTATCTTCTAAAAGGAAACAGCAGCAAAACAAATACTGACCAAACACCAAGGAAGGTTTAAAAGGTCACTTAGAGCAGCGGTAGGCACCCTTTTCCAACTGCAGGCCAAAATGACTTACCCTGATTTGGAGAAAAGTGAGAGCTAGGAACCTACCACTGCCACTTCTCTCCCCAGCCACATGGGGAAAGCGCCCGCTGCTGGCACTTCTCCCTGTAGCAGCATGGGGAGAGTGCCCACAGCTAGTGTTCATCTCTGTGCAGCTGAAGCCCATGTCTGTAGGATGGATCAAAAGTTTCCATGAGCCAAATCTGGCCCATGGCAGGCTGTAGATTACTAACCCCTACCCTACGGTGCTTCTACGCTGAGCCCAGGGGTGCTGTCAGGCAGCAACCTCTGCCCACTCACTCTTGCACTGAGTTGTGTGCACAGTTCTCTTCCTTGTGTTTTTTTGTCTAGTAGCATAACATATTAAAGGAAGTAAACATTCAGGCTAAATCCAAGTTGTTTTAATTGCATTCTAGTCTTCCTAGTTCCTTGCCTTCCTTTGACTTTGCGTCTTTCAGATACTCACAGGCAGACACCATGCTTTCCTTACTAAGCCTAGAAGTATATATAGACTATAAAGGAAGCAGAATGGAAATTTCCCATCACAGGAACAGCACAAGGCCAATACAGATTGTGCTGACGCTGCTGTGTGGGTGTTGGGATAAATCGAGGACTGGAGAGGGTATGGCTGAAGGAGTTTGCACTGGCTATTCTTGTGAGCAGAGCAGCCTACAATACCACACTGCCATAAATTAAACCAGTCCCTAGCACAGGGGTGGGCAGTTATTTCGGGCGGAAGGCCGTTTACCCAGTTATGGCAGGCTGTCAAGGGCCGCATGGGCAGCCCTGCCCCTTGACAGGTGCTCCGCCTCCTGGTCACCATCTTGGGACCAATGTCCCAATGTCTTTGGTCCCAAGACATTGGGACATTGATCCCATGTCCCAGGGCCAGCACCTGTGGGGCCCAACACAGGGCACAGGCTGGCCAGGGGTCTGTGGAGCCGGGCTGGGCTGCACCAGCAGGGAGAGGGAGAAGCTGGCCCGGCTCCATAGAACCCCTGCCAACTGGGACCCCGTGCTCCTGCCACCCTGCTCTGGGCCCTACCAGCACTGGCCCTGGGACACTGGTAGGGGCCCCGTGCTCCCGCTGGCTCCCTGCCCACTCATTCCCAGTGCCCCCCAGTCCCACAGTACAGACAGGGGGCAGCGCACAGCCCTGACCCCCTGCTCACCAGCAAGGAAGAAGCTGGTGCTGAGCGCGGGGAAAAGCGGCCCCTTACCTGCCCCATGGCCGGCACTCCCTGCTGTAGTTGCTCACAGCCCACACGGGGCTGTCTTGAACAGGCACAGGCAGCCCCAGGCGGACTGCAAGTGGCTACAGCACAGGGTGCCGGCCACTGGGTGAGTGAGGGGCCGCTTTTCCCACCCATGCACTCGGCACCAGCTTGTAACCAGCCCCCGCTGCCAGCCTGGGTTCTGTGCCGGCTCTGAGCTCACCCGTCGGGGCTGCATGTGGCAGCAGCAGCAGCAGCTGCAGCCCCCCCATGTGCCGTGTTGGGCAGCGTTGGCTGCTGCTGCCTGCCCGGAGCACACACTGGGCAGCCCACAGGCAGTGGTGGCAAACACTGCCTGGTGTGGCAAGCGGGGGGGCTGCAGCTGCTGTTGCCGCGAGCAGCCCTGACGGGTGAGTCACATGGGGTCCAGGCTGGTAGTGGGGCTGGGTTACAAGGTGGTGCTGAGCGCAGGAGTGGGAAAAGCGGCCCCTCGCCCACCCCGTGGCCAGTGCCGCTCACAGCCCACCTGGGGCTGCATGTGCCTGCTCCAGACAGCCCTATGCGGGCTGCGAGCAGCTGCAGCAGGGAGCGCCGGCCACGGGGCAGGGAAGGGCCGCTTTTCTCTGCCAGGAAGGAGCCTGGGGAAAAGCTGAGCATGGGGGGTGGAAAAGCAGAACCAAGAGCAGAGAATATTAATTTTCTAAGTTTTTTAGGGTCCTTGTGGGCCAGATAGAATGGCCTTGCAGGCCAGATGTGGCCCGCGGGTCGTATTTTGCCTGCCCCTGCCTTAGTGCTTTCCTAACTTTTGCTGGAATTTTGTGCCAGATCCAGAGCATCCTGGAGAAACAAAAGTACTCTGAAACTGCCTTTGTATGCTTCTCAACTTCTTATTTGTGTTGAGAGGTATGCCACAGAATCTGGCTCCATGTTACCAACTTCCCCCTAGAACAGTGGTTCACAGCCTTTTTCAGGGTCAGGGCACCCCTTCACCACTTTTTTGAATGTAGCAGCACCCCTGGTTGAGAACCAGTATTGGTGCTGCCTCAACTTACCTTAGTGCTTTTCAACTAGTTTTTCTGCTGTCTCCAGTGTAAAAGTGCCCCATGCCTACTGCACAACCAGCCTGGGAAGGGCTATGACATGTACATGATAGTGCTACATTAGGGCTCTGATCAACCTAAAGCAGGTAGGGGCTGCTTTGTGTTGTAGATGTTGCTGACTGCCCTCCCCTACACTCTTCCCAGAAAAAGGCTAACAGGTAGAACTGTTGTTTTCAGGAGGTGAACTGGAGGCTGAACCAGCTATACAGGACTAGTCAGCTGTTGCCTGCTTTAGGCTGATCAGAGCCATAGGACTAGAGGAGTGTGTGGGGCAATTTTACCTGGTTGCTGTCACCACTGTGGTAGTATCTGCATTTTGGCACCCTGGTTGAAAAACCATTATACTATAGAATTTGCATAGCTGGGCTATATGCATGTTTAGCTGTATTAATCTCTCCTTGTAAATTAATCCCTGCTGGTGAAACTTAGTTGTCTTTGAATTTCCCCCACCATTTTATAAAGATCTTTTTGGCAATCTGATGGCCTGAATTAAACCTAGGTGCAGTTATATTAGAACTCTATACTGACTCTCTTCCTCCATGCTGTGTTATCTTTGCATAGGTAACTCAGAATTACGCTACGGATAACTTTCTACGTTGCTCTATAGTATTAGAAACTCCAGAGCCAATTCTTGAATGTCTGCTTTCCATGTTTCTCCTTCCCATGCTGTCTGTGGCTTGAGGATTGTTTTTCCTGAGGTGTATTGATTGGCATTTGTCTTGGCTATACTCATGTTATTGGATGTCAAAGATTAGACCCTGTTACAGAAGGATATGGATGAGTGGTGAAGCAAAGAGGCAGTGTCATAAGGGGGACAGATGTGACCAGTGTTGAGGTAAAACATGCAGGTGCTTGGTTGAGTTCTGGTCCTTTGACATCCTTTTGACTGTAGATGCTTTGCGCATGATGCCAAATCAGGATGAGAGTGGCCAGTTTGCTACTGTATGACAGGGGTACAGCAACAGTTAGCGTACAGCCACAGTTATAGTAAATTACTATAGTGAGATTTTTGTTAATCTTACATTTTTCTTTTAAGTCATCATCAGGATGAAGTGCAGTTTTTCCTATTGAACGCCAGGTGGCACATGGATCCTTTTTGCTTCTGCTTTTGGGTTTGTCTCAGGGGTGGGGTTTTGGTTGATGCTACAATTCAGAGACCTTCGGGACTAATTTTCAGCAAGTTCTGAACTATGGTCTGCATGCCCCATGATGGAGTCCTGGGGGTGGGGTTAAGATTAATAGCTGAGTTGGCAACACAGGGATGCATCTACTTTGCCTCTCACAGCAGCCTTTAGAAACACTGTTAACTGAGTTTAGGGGAAATAAGTCTTTCCTACTGTTGTGTTATTCCAGTATTCCTGTGTGAGATTCTGTATAGGCCCAGCAGATGTTGCTATCCAAGTAGCAGATGCTGCCAGCCATGCATTCTGCTCCCTGTGCCCAATTTCTCTGTGCTGATGGTCTGTGTTGATAAGCTTGGTTATATAGGTTGTATTGTTCTTGAGCATGATATTCCAAGTGTAAACAGTGGTACTCATTCACCTTACATTACCCTTCACTGACAGTATGTAGCATCAGCCTCATGGGGACAAGGTGCCCTTTATTATTATCCACTCCCAGATAATACTAGCCACAACAGCACTCCTATACATCATGGATATTGTAGCCCTTTATGAGATGATACTAATTACACAGACAGCACTTACTATAAACTCTTGCACTCTAGGCTAATCCACCCAACATGATACTTTGCCTGTGGGCAAAGATTTCCTATTTATCATTCTCAGGCATGGGTAATCCAAACACACAGCAGATAAGAGAGGCCTTATCTCACTGGAAGTCAATGGTCTCTTAGTGGTAAAGTCTGTCCTATGTAGGGCCCAAACCATTTTAGGGTCTTACCAGGTGCGAGAGAGGATCCAGGAGTGCCCCAAGGTTGCAAACCTTAAGTGACAAGAAGAGGCTGAATCTCACCAACAATCAGTGTCCCAAATCCCTTTAAGTTGCATGGTCTGCCTACCACCATCACTTTTCTTGTCTGGATTCAGTTTCAGTTGGTTCACCTGCATCTAATCCCCAATTACAGCCCACCACTGTGAAAGAACTGAAACTGAAAAGCCTAGGTCAGATGAGAGAGAGGTAGAGCTGGGTGTCATCAACAGAGATCCTGGTTTTCCCCAATTAAAAAAAAACTGCACGTTCTGTAATAAAACCCTCAAAATCCACAATTAAAATGAAATGCCACTGTGTGTGTGTGCATGTCAGCTGAACGCAAGGTTTTATTGATTTATTTACAATTTTAAAGCAATTTGGAAGCCTACCAGTGCCTCAGTCACTGTAGTAAAATAAATACTAAGTAACTATACATTTTGGTATTTCATTTTGGGGTTTTTTACCATGGA